ATTCCTGCTTTCTCCTAAGCAAATATGCGAAAGAAATTAACAAAGATAAGATTTTTTTTGTTCCTTTGCGGGGGAGGGTTGGGCGGGGCAAGGGTTCTATTGCTCTGGAGAAAGGGAAAAATCTGCAAAGTGTGTATGAAAAATGAAATCTCTGTTTTGACCTTTCAGATTAAACCTCTGTTTACTTTCAGGAAGTGCAGGAAATGTATACAGAGTCTGCTTGGACCAGGGAATTTGGCAAACAAGAGAAAACTCCACAGACATTTGGCGTGATAGTTCAGAATGTTCTGAGAAAAATCATTTCAAACAAAACGTAAGTATGATGCTTTATGTCATGGGTTTAATACTTAATCTTCTTAATCCCTTCTTGAGTAACTGATAGAACATGTCTACTGAATACCTGAAAAAGATCTTCAGTTTTCGTTTAGATTACCAAATGGAAACCTGTACTTTTATGCAGAAAAGGGGGAAGAGGAGAGATAAAGGATGGGGATTCCTGCTTCAGATGCCACAAATTATTTTCTCTTCAGAGTCCAGTGTTCACATGTGCTGGTTTCTTTGTAATAAATTTGAAAAGTACAGCAACTTGGCTAGTAGATAACTAAAATTCAGAGGATGCTATAGTCTGCCCCAAACTGCCATAGTCTAACAAAGCCTTAATTCCCTTTGCTTCCTGAGCCTTCTAGCATTTAATGAGCCATTAATTGGTCCTTTCAAATGAAAAAGAGAGTGAAAAGCAAACCCATATCTTCTATGTGTACTGAATTTCACCCCAGAACCTAGCTCGTAGCGGACAGGAGGACTATCATAATGCAGACATCATCCTTCCCTGCTTGAGATAGCATGCAGCCCAAGTGCTGGGCTTTGGCAGCACAGGAGATCGCTCTATAAAAGTGAAAAAAGAGCAAAATAAAAATACTCATCTTGATAATGCTCAGCTTTTTGTATTGATGATAAAATGAAAAGAATTACTAATTGACTCTGGTTTGTGAAGCTGCACGTCATTCTCTTGCTTCATTTGCAAGAAGCCTGGCTGCATCTTCTACATAAGAATTTTGCCACAACATATGCTCAATTCCAACATTCAAGTTACATTTTCAGGAAAGGACATGTCTTCAGGCTGTGAACAAGGGATCTAAATCTGCTGCCCCCTTGCACAACTGGTCAGGGTGAGTTGCGATGAAAGCTGCAGAGTTTCAGATAACAGTAAAGCATGCAGCTTATTTGGTTTCATGCAGTTTATTTGGTTTCAGGCTTCTTGTGAATTCTATTGCCACAAAGTTCAGCTTAGCTAATGTCAAAATTAGCTCTCTTTGGTTAAGCTTTACCACTATTGATTCTTTGTTATTTGCTGTTTCTTACTTTGAGTTAATAATACAGTTTATTATTTATAATATTGTTTATTATTTAAAATATTGTTCATTATGTTATTGAATAATAATACTTTATTAAACAGTATTAGTTCAGCATCTTCATGTGTTACTATGATTTAGTAAACTAAATCATTAGTTAATTAACAAACTCTTATATAAGAGAGTTATTAATTAATTAATAAACTTAATAAACTCAAAATAAACTCTTAATATACTCTTTATATTAATTAACTCTTTATATAGTGACTATATGGACTTCCAAAATTACAGTTATTTATTCAAGTATGATAAATATTCATATGTGCTGAGGGTTTTTCATGGACTATGGATTACTCTGGATGGTAAACTTGTGGGTGGGAGAGTACCACATAAATTTATCTTGTATGACAGTAGGTAGTTTCTCTGAAACCTTTAACCAGCTTTCTTTCCAATGCTAAATGTGTTTTTGTACCTATTTCTTATATTTAGTCCAAAAAATCAAAAATGCTAGGTATCCATCCAAAACAAAGGAATCAGCTTAGCTTCATCTTCTTTGGTGTTGCAAAATTGCCACAGACAGGATAATAACTCATACCTTTTACTAGGTTAATTTCTGGGTTTTTTTGTTTTCAGGCAGCTGAGTGACTATGGCAATCTCCTGCACTCACACTGCACTCCCGGTACACTTTCACCCTCTCCAAGAAAGTTTTTATCAGCAGGCACAACTCCATATGCTCTGCAGATAGTACAAAATAGCTTAAGTTTATTAGAGACAGCTCATTGCCAAGGTGAAAGTGCTACAATCCCTGGCAGCGAGCAAAAGGATAAATAATAAAGGAAACTGAAATCACTGAGGAAAAGACACAAGTTCCAAGAAAGTCCTTGCAGGCCAAATAAGGATAACAAACATTATATATAGTATATTTCTATATCTTCTCTGCAGAGAAATTTTTCTTGAGCTAGAAAAATAATATGAAGATATGAGAAGTAGACATAGAAATCTAAATGAAACTAGGAATAAGAAATACTAATTGAAGCAAGTTGGAAAGAAGAAATGTGTGTGTGCTCTTTTTTCCTCTGATGTCCTGTTCATGTCATTCAAAGACATTCTAGATACAATTTAATTTAGTTCTAATGCTAATTTTGATTTTCTTTGAACTCGTGAAGGAAATCATGAGTTCACAATTTCAATGTCTCTAAAGACAGAGCTGAATCTCAAAACTGTACACACAAGACTGAGGTGCAGTTGTGTCCCCATGCTGCACAAATGGGAATTGCATATGTTTTTACAGGTTGAATGAGTTGATCTCATATCACAGAATCACAGAATCAAAGAATGGTTGAGGTTGGAAGGGACTTCTGGAGACCATCTAGTCCAACCTCCCTGCTCAAGCAGGGTCCTCTAGAGCACATTGCACAGGATTGCATCCAGGCAGGTTATGAATATCTCCAGCGAAGGAGACTCCACTACCTCTCTGGGCAACCTGTTCCAGTGCTCAGGCAACCTCCCAGGAAAGAAGTTTTTTCTCAGGTTCAGATGGAACTTCCTGTGGTTCAGTTTGTGCCTGTTGCCTCTTGTCCTGTCGCTGGGCACCACGGAGAAGAGACCGGCCTCATCCTCTTGACACCCCCCCTTCAGATACCTGTACACATTGATGAGATCACCTCTCAGTCTTCTCTTCTCCAGGCTCAACGGGCCCAGCTCCCGCAGCCTTTCTTCAGAGGAGAGGTGCTCCAGCCCTCTAATCGTCTTTGTAGCCCTCCGCTGCACTCTCTCCAGTAGGGCCATGTGCCTCTTGTCCTGGGGAGCCCAGAACTGGACACAGGACTCCAGGTGAGGCCTCCCCGGGGCTGAGGAGAGGGGCAGGATCACCTCCCTCCACCTGCTGGCAACACTCTGCCTAATGCACCCCAGGATGCCATTGGCCCTCTTGGCCCCAAGGGCACACCGCTGCCTCATGTTTAACTTGTTGTCCCCCAGCACTCCCAGGTCCTTCTCTGCAGAGCTGCTTTCCAGCAGGTCAGCCCCCAGCCTGTCCTGGTGCCTGGGGTTATTCCTCCCTAGGTGCACGACCCTGCACTTGCCTTTGTTGGACTTCAGGAGGTTCCTCTCCGCCCAGCTCTCCAGCCTCTCCAGGTCTCTCTGAATGGCAGCACAGCCCTCTGGGGTGTCAGCCACTCCTCCCCCCCAGTTTAGTATCATCAGCAAACTTGCTGAGAGTGCACTCTGTGCCTTCATCCAGGTCATTGAGGAATATGTTGCACAAGACCAGAGCCAGGACTGACCCCTGGGGGACACCGCTATCTACAGGCCTCCAACTAGACTCTGTGCCACTGACCACAACCCTCCGAGCTCGGCCATCCAGCCAGTTCTCAATCCACCTCATCCACCGTCCACTCATCCAACCCTCACTTCCTGAGCTTACCTAGGAGGATGTGATGGGAGACAGTGTCCAAAGCCTTGCTGATATGCAGTATTTAAATGACCAGGATCCATTTGATGCATGTAATCATGACAGTGATTAGCTATAATGAGGAATCAGAATGGTATTTGTGTGACAGAAGTCTGGAAATGAGATCTTAAGTGCCTTCGGATTTCACAAAGAAACTAAGACTGTTCTCCAGGTGTCTCTTTCAAGCTCTGATTTCAAGAGGAAGTGGAGGGAACAGATATCAGAAACCTTCCATAGCTATGCTGCAACACAAAATAAGTCAGACATAAAGTTCTTGATTTAGTGTTCATGCCCTGCCTGCTTGCACGTATAACTTGATTATTTTTCTTTTTGTTCCTAGGAAGAAGAACATACATTACTTACCACACTACAGTTGTTGTACACTGTAGGATATTATTTCTCTCTCATCTCCCTTGTATTAGCTCTCCTTATACTTTCTTTACTCAGGTTAGTACAAATTTACAAACTTTTTTAAATTACAGACCACAATATGCACATTCTTCTTTTCATGTAATTGAGTTCATCATTTAGCTTCAGACATAAATACATATGATTTAAGAATAAGCCTTGTAAAGGCAATTCCTAAGAAAAATCCATTGATGACAGCACTATGAATACAACAGGTGTTTTTAATTTCTGCCAAATAAATGCATTCTAAAGCATTCATACATTGTTTTTTCTCCTCCAGAAAACTTCACTGCACAAGAAACTACATCCATATGAATTTATTCGCATCTTTTATCTTGCGTGCCACAGCAGTTCTCATAAAAGACACTGTATTCTACAATACTTACTCAAAAAGACCAAACAATGAAACTGGATGGATATCCTACTTCAGTTCTGAGGTAACTTGTTAGTTCATTGCTAATAGTGTATTGTTGCTGCTGGTGGCCATAACAGTTAAAGTCTCAGAACAGTTTGCCATATAGAAGCAAGTTTTCCGATGACTGTTATTTGAACTTTGAATAGTGACATTTTGCTGATAAAGCTGAGAGCAATCAAGAAAAGCTATCTGATTTGATAATTTATAATACCTACATATATACAATTATAATTACAATTGTACATACATACAATTATAATACATACAATACAAATGATAAAACATTGATTTTACATGAAGAACTATATGAAAAGTTCATGTAAAGCAATGGTTATACATAGAACCTTCCAATTAAGCAGAAGATTTTTATTACTTTTAATTTTAGGAACAAATCTATACATTTATTTGGCACTTGTGGAGAACTTTTTGTATTTTTTCACTTTTGGTACACATAACACAGTGCAATGTACTCAAATATTGTTTGTAACATGGTGTTACCAAACGCAAAGTGTCTGTTGTAAGAATGCACTAGCGGGAAAAAATCTTTCAAAGGTGTTTTGATACTAGGAAAATATGCTAATTTTTGTTTCATTTCTCTAGAAAATGGATTTACAACATCTGCCATTGCCACCACTGTGGGCATATTACATTTGTACAATGTTGGCTGAATATAGTTCACCCATGTTAGTAGGCAAAATTCCCTGCAACATTTTAATTGTCTTTTACCACAGAACTGCTTCTATGTGGGTTCTGTTAGCTTACTAGTTCATTAGTAATACTTCTGATATGCAGATGCCCCAGCCTACACACAAACATCCTATCACTATCAATTCTTACGTGTCATCTCCCCTCAAATTATTGTCTCCATCCAGTGTAGAAGCCTTTAAGTTGTTGCACTCCCTTCCTGCAAACACATTTTGGTTGCAGCCTCTCCCAAGCAGCAAGGAGAGTCATACTAGTGCTTCAGGTGTTGTTTTTTTCTCATTTCCTCTTAAAACTTATTCGGTATAACTTGCTTCATCCCACAGTCTGATAAATTAGCTCAGTAAACAATTTCTTCATCCTTCCTACTTAATGGTAAATCACAAGGTATTTCTTATGCTTGTATGAGTTTGTAATACCCAGGTTCATTCCAAAATTTAGTACTGAACATAGCCATTGCAGTGTTATTTTGCTGGGTCGCCTGTCTACCAGTAACACTTCTCTTCTACTGAATATAATTTACAAATTGATTCTTCTTCAACACTTTTCTTTTTATCCTTAGGGTCAGGGTCTCCTTCTCATCCAGCCTGCCTACAACCCCTGGCATGAACTGGGGGTCATTCTGTCTCCTGCCCCTTGCATCTCAAAAGGTAGAGGGCATACCCGTCTCTCAGTCATTCTGCCACCAAAGGCCTCCTAACATCAACTTATCTTCCCATACCCTCCCTTCCCAAACATCTGTGTCCTTTCTACATGTTGTAGATACTCCTTACACTCCTCACTTACCATTTGCCCCAGAAGCTCTCCACCTGCACTGCCTCCTGCTTCCCACACAGCTTTGTTCAGCACTTCGAAAAATGTAAATATTTTCTTCTTATGGGTCAGACTGAGGCATGAAGGCAGCAGAAACAAAGTAAAACATTCATAAGGCTGCTGACCCTAATCTTCCCCTTACCCCCCCGATACTATCTGCCTCCAAAGCCTTCCATGACAGCAGGTTCTAGAAGTTCGTTCCCTTCTTATTTTAAATAATTCTTTTTTTCTGTTTTGAACTGGTTTCCTACTGATTTCAATACATGACCCCTAATTCTAGTGCTTTGACATTTGATGAATAAGAAGCTGCATTCATCTTATTCATTGCTTTCATCATTCCTTAATCATATCCACTCTTGACCATCTCCTCTCCAAACTAAACTCCGAGAGTTGTTAGTTCTCCTCATTAAACAGTTGCTCCATTGGCTTATGATTTCAGTCATCCTTCTCTAGATCTTCTCTAACTTCTTTAGGTTTTCTTGGTTTGTGCCTTTGTTTAAGGCAAAATGATGCCTTTTGTCTTATTTTGAATAGCCTTCCCTATGAAACTTAAAATCTTGTTAGCTTAGTTGACTGCCATGGCACACTGCACAGATGCTTTCACAGAACTTTCAGTGATGACTCCAGGATATTTTTTATTTCTGAGACGTAACAGTATCTTTCCTGATACCTTATACTGAGAGTTCTACCTCAAGACATAAGGCTTTGGGAAGCACTGCTATGCATTATGGTGTCTACTGAGCAAATGATTCATTGTCATTTCTCACTTGTGCTCTTAAGATAAATCCCTTTATTTCTTCTTCAGTTTTTTTCCAGGATCTCTCAAATGATGGAAGCATCATCTGAAGCCAGATCTACAGTCATATGCTTGTCTGCACTCCAGAATGACAGATGATATTGAAAATCCTTTGCCCTCTCTTTTTAAAACATGGTTCTCTCATAAAAGCTACCCTTCCCCACGGCAGAAAATCTTTCTTTGGATCGCGTCATCTTAGCATGCAATGAATTGAGATAATATTCTCAGAGAACTATTCATAAAAGCCTATGTGAGAGGTAACAGTGGGTTTAGAACCTCTCCATGTGGGTATGAGATTGTGGGTTTTTTCCTTACTTTTTTGTGTTTGTCAGATTTGAATTTTGTCTGCCAGACAGCATCATCAGATTTGTCTACTTCACTTTGAAGACAGCCTTCACTTTCAGCAAATTAAATTCCATGTCATCATGAGATTTTATCATTTCATTATTCACTCTTCAGTTTATTTTATTGAGAGCTAAGATAACAAAGAGAAAAACCGTTGCCGGAGCCTTTATATATAATAATAATTCCTGGTCTCTCATTTCTACAGATTTTAATCATTTGCAGGACTGCACAGTTTTTCATGCATTACTTTGTTGGGGCAAATTATTTTTGGCTATTGGTAGAAGGAATTTATCTCCACACATTATTGGTAACTGCTGTACTCTCTGAAAGACGGCTGCTACAGACATATATTGTGATCGGATGGGGTAAGTGCAAAACAAATTAAAAGTTCTTGATGTTGTACTATTTTTAGAGTCAATTACAAACTTTATAAAGAAGAGAGAAAACTTTGCTCTTTTGTTTGTTTATTTGTTTAGAAGTCAACAGTTGTCCGTAAAGATATAACTAGAAATGATCCTTCAGTTGCGGTTCAGTTTGACCTGCAGACACTGGAAATGAGTAAATTGTTTTATATTAAAGTGATAGACTCAACAGAACAAGAATTTGAAATGCTACATGATTGGACTCCTATGTTTCAGGCATTTTTCATGGAATAAAGACTACGTAAAGTTAGTTACAAACTTTTGAAACTTTTTGCATAAATAATCTTTTTTTTTAATATCAGACTAATGTGAAAACTGACAATTATGTTTGTAGCTCACTCAGACAAAGGATATAACTCTGTAACTTGCCAGGACAAAGGGGAGAGAGGAAAGCCAAGGTTTCCTAATTCCCAATAATTATCTAAAATCTACTTGTACAGTCTATGAGCTCTTGAAGGTTTTAAGTGAAGATAAAAAAAAAAAAAAAAAGTCAAAATGTAGATTTGATGCAGGAATTATTATTTCAAATCCATTGGCCTGAGTTAAGGAGGACAGGATAGATGGCCGTAATAGGATCTTCTAACTGTATGACCTATATCAGTTCATGGGTTACAAGCTGGTACACTAACATGGCTCATTCTATATTGTCAAATGCAAAATTGTTTATCTACAACTGTAGGACGGTAGCACAGGTCACACCTAAAGAAAGGAAGAACCTATAGTAAGAAACAATGATTCTTAAAAGGATTTATGTAGTGGATGATTACCTAGTTGTAAATAAAATATTCCATATTTGCTTTGCTGTACTGGCTGCTAGAATTATTTACCCTGGATAAAAAGGTATGAATTTAAAGGGGTCTTTAAACATAAATAGGTGAAGTGAATGCCAGCTAAGATTGAAATTATAATAGTTACAGTTGGGATGTTACAACATTAACATGTTTAAAGGGATTTTTTGTTTATTGTTATCAAAACTGGGGCAAATTCCATGACAGTAAGTGGTGTCATTCAATTTAGGTGTTAAAAGGTGATACTAGACTCTCTGTGTAACCATCACAGATAATGAAGACAGTTCACTTCTGTTGGACATCTACCTTCTCTTTTGAATTTTTAAAAGGCAATTGGATGGCATCTAAAAAAATAGCCTACAGGAGAAATTCCTAGAATTAAGTGATTTTCAGATAGAGCTTGTTTTCCTACCTTTATAATATGACTGTATTAACTTATGAGCTAAAAACCAGTGTTAGGAAAAAACCAGACACTTAAAGCAAGATCCAAAATAAGACTTAAGCATCTAAAATGCCACACAGGGGAAAACTGAACAAGAAAGTTTCAGTGTGTGATATAAAACCCTGCTGAAGTATAAAAAGTAACTTAATTTTAGGCAAACCTGCTAAGTCTGAAAGAACAAAGATTCATTAAAACCCAGAAATTTTAACTGTCTTTTATAGACATGGCTTGCACTAATACTGACATGGTTAAAGAACATCTGGATTTTGTCTCTTATAGTATTTAACTAGGTTTTGAAGACATGTTGAAAAGGTATTCTGTGGTATTTTACGATTTATTATGAAGATGTCAGTACAACTGATTACTTCATTTTGTAAATTGTGTAATTGTGTTGTCAGAAATCATTAAAAAACACTCCGAGTTAGCAATTTTGGCAATGACACACTTTCTTCTGGAGTACTAAATCAATCATTTAGAGCACAGTACATCAAAGTCACTATTAAATGTTTAAACGCGGTTGATCCAGGTCCCAAGACAGATGTGAAATGCTACATAGGGAACCTTTCTGCACCAAATCCACTCACAGATTTGAGCTGAGATGTAGATATATTCTGGAACACTGCAGCTCAGATTTGGTGACTTAGCCTAGGCACATGTTGAGACATCGTTATGGACAGCTTGTTTTGTCAGAAGTTCACAGGATAGAAACAAAGCAGAAATTGAAACATTCAATTATTGCATTTTGGTACCTGCATAGAAATTTATCTGTCAGAACTGTGTCAGATAATTGGTCTCAGATATTATCTTCTTTCCAGAACAAGTCCAGTTTCTTGCAGAAAAGGATCTCGATAGAAAAGAACATTTAAAAAGTTCATTTGCCCTTCTCTGTGCAGTCAAAGTCGTGATGAGTCCCAAGTATCCCAGACTGGCTTCCTTATGTTTGCAGGGAGTACATTGATACTCATGCCCATGCTGAGTGCTGTTTGCATCTCAGGCTGTGGATTGTTATACTCAGGTAGTGCTTAAATCTTTAGCTTATTCTATAAAATGAAGGGGAGCGTTCATTTTATCTGACAGTTACAAGATTAAAGTTACGTAGCTAAAATCTAGACTCTCTCTAGAATCAAAGGAAGGACATATGTTTCTGTGAGGATTATTTTCAGACTTGCAGTTTTAGTCATGCTATTCCATTTTTGCCATCCCTCCTTTTGCTCTTCTGCTTCTTTATTATTAAACATTAACTACTTGCCTTCACTTTCACACCCACTCTCATCCTTTCTCATCTCTTAAAAAGCTTCTGTCAAATCATACCACTGCTCTTCATTATGCATTGTCAAACCTCTAGGCTTTCTCCTTTGCTGTGCTTTGCACTTTGGAGGTTCCTTCTGATCATCCACAACTTGATTTCTCTGTTTTGTCTCACACTGCTCCTTTAATATCTCCTGTGAGAGCACACAGGCTGCTGACACAAGACCACTGTCTTACACTGATTAGTGTTATCTAATTGCTTCCTCATTCTGCCCTCTAAATCCATTTGTTGCCTTTGATCACCAGCTCTCCGGAGCAGGAACTATCATTTCATTCCTTCTTCAAACTACAATGGGACCAGTTTGTTAAGAGAGTTCCTAACTGCTGTAATAGTATTAAAAAAAAAAAAATCATAACCCTGTAGGTCCCCCTTCTTTTCTTTCATACATGTATGTTCTGTGATTTCCTAATGGTCTCTTCCCACTAATTCAACTAGTTTCTTATTTATATTTATTAGAATTATGACTAAACAGGAGATATGGCACTTCTCACCTTACAAACATATGCAGTCCTAATGCTTCGGAGCCAGGAAGGGCAAACCACGTGTACATCTGCTGAGATGTCTGCACCTCCTCAGCTACTGGCTGGAAACTGCACTTGATAACATCACTTCACCCTCCCTGGCATCATCATTCCCAACTGTTCAACCCCATACACCCCTGCATGTGTTTCTCTCCCTTTGCAAGTGGTCCATGACACTGCCTTGAGTGTCCTCTCAGATCCATTTGTTGCACCAAAGCCATCTCCCACCCAAGCGAGACTCTCTATCTCTTTGCCCACTTCCCTCACTCAGAGGTCTATCACCTCTGAGAGCATTTTGCTTCATGTACTTTCCCCACACTGCTGCACACCAGCTCTCTCCATGACCTTTTCTAGTGTCCTAGGATTCTGAAATTGACCTTGTTCTGACCCCAGGCACTCACATCTCCTTCCCTTTCTGCTACCGCAGGCACCAACATCTCCTTCCCTTTCTATTACATCCTCTAGAGAATTGTCTCTATATTATTGGTTTGGGAATCAAATTGAACACCTGCCTTTAGTAGCCTGCATTGCCTTGTGCTTGTGTTTGAAGCTTGTGTTTGCACATTTATAGGCCACTGGAATCGTGTAGTAATCATTTAATTCAATATTTTTTCAGTCTGCAAAAGAGGGGGCAGCAACAGGGTGACAAGGGCCATGGATTATCTTAAGGGGTCCAGGAATGGTATGTCATGAAAACAAGCCTTCTGTCAATTGTTTTAATTAGCTAGACAGAATTTCACTCCTCCAATGAAAATTGCTTAGGGCTTGACAAATCAAAAATGTTAATGATCAGTGCCTTAAGTAGCCTGTGAGGCCTCTAATACCAATTATTTTGAATTCTCAATGTCAGGAACTTACAAGACTTAGTCTGGTCAGCAGTGTATGTGTTTATATATAAATATATATATATATCAGTAGTGAAATTTTGCATATCTGAAAATGAGAGATGCAACTATACTATGCAACTGTAAGATTCATTCTGTTTTTGAGCTGCAAAAAGTGAAAGACAGGACAAAGCTGATTTTTGTACAATATCTAGATAGCAAACTGAAATATATATGTCTTTGCACCGCACACTGTTGTAACATATCTGCATTTTATATCAACCATTCATTTATAGGAACCATTCATTTATATGAACCATACTGCAAACTTGGCTCTAATTGACTCCTTCTCTTTTTTTCAGTTGTTCCTATTTTGTTTGTGGGCCCTTGGGGAATGAGTAGATCAAAACTAGAGAACACAGGGTAGGTTACTAAATAAAAATTGTCTCAGAATACTGGGTTTGGGTTTGTTTACTTTTTTCTAGAAACATTCTACAATAACCAACACAAATATTGACTGCTGGATTATATTAAGATTACACAATGTCCATTAATACTTGGTACATTTTCTAGGTTCATTTTAATCATTTCACATTAAACCACTTCCAGGAATTCACAGGTTTACATATGTCAGCACAAACATATTCACTGAGAAAATCTTGTGAGCAAGAAAAGGAGACCAGTGCTTGGAGAAAATCTATGTTTTGAGCTCAGTTGGTAAAGACTGCCATTTTGGAGAAAAGAATAATTGTGAAGGATAATGACAAAAACTGATATTCAGTGAATGCATTCAGTATTCAGTGAATGAATCAGTAAGAGTAACTTACACAAGTGAGCATCAGTCTTCCATTCTCCTGGTCTTCAGTGAGGCTGTTATTAATGGTGTCACATAGGCTATTTATTTTACATTTGATTTTTCTGTTTTAATTCCGTATTTTATTCATGTTTACTAGTGAGTTTTGTTGGAAATAGCAATACAATTATTTAGATTTATGTTGATGCATCAGGATCACAATTATGGTCCCATAGAGTTAGATGTTATACAGACATACTGTAAATGACAAGCCATAGTCCCACAGGGTTTCAGGCTAATTAGTAAAGTAGAAGTGTGTGGGACAAATTAAAAAGTTGGAGTCAGAGAAAAGGAGACTGCTTCAGGGAGACAGTATGCACACTTTTTAGACAGTCAAGAACAATGGTCACAACTCACAGCTTACCTAATTACAGTTTAAAGGTTACATGGCCAAATTTGGGTAAGGTGAATCCCACTATGAAGGCTGGTGCTGTGTACAATGGTGTCGATCCAAAGACTTAAGTTTACCAGATGGTTTTGAAATCTGCAGTCTAGGACAACCTCTCCCAAGATTTTGAATACATAATTAAAAGATCTTGAGAAAAACTACAATTAAAGTTATTGGCAAGACTTTCTTCCTAATTTTAGGAAGTTGGCATTTCTCCTGAATTCCAACTAAGAAAAGTTAAACTTTGTCAAGTTCCTTTTGAAATATATATATACTTAATTTAAGATTTTTAATTTATATATATGAACATAATATAACCATACCTTAAATTATTCTTCAGGTGTTGGGGAACAAATGAACACATGGGAATCTGGTGGATCATCCGAGGACCAATGTTGTTTTCCATTGCAGTAAGAATTAAATTATCTGTTCCTAATATCTTACACAAGTGTGATTGCCTCTCTGTTGCCACCCTTTCTCCAAGTGTAATCCAGTTCTTGGACTAGAGGAGCTCAGGCAGACAAGACTGTAAATAAGATTTCTTGTGGCTAAACATAGCTTCCTTTCTGCCTATCTCCAAGCAACAAAGATTTCAGTGTTAGTCTCTCAAAACACAAATGTTTATACATGCAGTGAATTCTGCACAACTCTGTATATCAGCATAGAACTTTTTGCTTCAGTTATTTTTATCTTTATTTTCTCAGTGAGCAGGTTACTTAGGGAGAGTGCTGCAATACAGTGAGCACCACTAGGAAGTTCCCAGATTCTCCACAGAGGGAGTTCTTATGATAACAGAGATGCAGGGAAGTAAGACCAGAAGTACTGATGGTGATGGGGAGAAATCATTCATCCAACCAGGCACCAAAAGAACACAAAAATCCAAGTCTTAAAAAACAGTCAGCCGTGGCATAAACATACATAAGATATGTTGTAACCATTGAGGCCAACCTGTGCAGCCATAACCAACTCCTTCCTTTGCCTGATAACATTTAAGTTGTTCCAGAATCACAGACAGTGCTTTTTGAGGGACTCCAAGCACAGATCAGACTTTAGCCATATATGATGTTCTGGCTTTTGAGACAACATTTAGGATCATGGATCACAGAGATGGTAAAATGGTACTGATGATAAGTGGTCTTCACTTCTAGCCAGGCAATCCAGAGTTACGTTTTTCAGATGACCAAAGACTACTGATCACAAACTGGCAGAAGGTGTGCCCAAAAGAAACTACCTTGCTTAGGAGTAGCAGTTCAGTTAGGTTCAATTCTGGATAGAGAAATATGACAGGACTGCCAGATTGCTGATGCAGAGCACAGCAACTTAAATGACAAAGGAGAGATGGCCCTTCTCCAGGTGAAGCACCTGATATACACGGTTGTCTTTCTGGAGAGTCCAAGAGTGAATGAATCTCCTAAGACTTTCTCATTTTTAGTGCACCTGAAGGACATATCACAGAAACTGTAATTCACAAATCTTCTCAAGGGCTTCAAAGTCATATGCAAGCAGAAACATCCAGCTTTGATTTTCAAAGAGTTTTTGGCAAGATCCCTAATCAAAGCAGTTAAAGTAATTATGATTCCTGGGTACAAGAAAAGCTGACTAGGGATCAAAAAGAAAATAAAATGTTAGCAATTATTAGGATTTAAGCAGAGTAAAGTTAGTATATACCTGAGTGAATATTTGGTGCATCTTCATATTGCATGATTTCTGTAGTTTTGGTTGACCTTTTCTAGATGGACATACATATGTAGTAGAAATGGAAAAGATTCAAAAATGAGTGATGAGAAGAGCAAACTGTTCATATGAGGAAAGAATAAATAGACCAGGACTCTTCTCTTTGGAAAAGAGATAGCTGAGAGGCAAGATTGTATGAGAAACTACAGTATCATGAGTGATTTGAGAAATTAATATATAAAAATTATTCACTCTTTATCACAATATAAAGTGATGGGATCTGCAGCAAAACAAGGAGAAAGAAACACTGTTCATATACAGCATTTAACTGAACTGTGGAGCCCGTTGCCACATGCTTTAGATTCCACAACTGTAAGGCGATTCCAAAGTAGATTACATAAACTCATTAGTGACTACCAAATATAATGGGCCAGTTGCAAATCCCTGCTCAGTAGTCTGCAAACTGAGCCACAAATAGGATCCCTCTAGCTACCTGTTCCTATGCACACTTTCCTTCATCTTCTGTTATTGAGCATAGTCTGAGCCAATGGACAGAACTTACATACTTAAAACATGCTAATTTACAACATTTGGCAGCTCAAATATTGCTGTAGTTGGTAGTCTTAAGGTTATCTCTTAAAAATGCTGTGTAGTTGCTCATAACTTTGCAAAATCTGAGCGGAAAATACAATTTTTAAAAAACATTTTAAATTCTGAGGGTTTCACTGAGACATTGCCTAACAGCAACAGGACTTGGTTCAGAACTTTCTGTCTGTGATTGCTCCTCATTTTTGCCAGTGTACATTATGATGCCCAGCACTGGAACTGAACATTGGGAGATTCTTTCTGTGCCTTGTTCAGCATCAGCATCACTCTACCACTAACAGCGTGGGAGAGGCAGGAAAGGAATAAATGAGAGATGAAATTAAAAGCAGCAAAACTGAAACCAGATTGCAGGAGAATAGGATGTGAAATATGACAAGAAATGGGGGAGAGGGAGGAGCAAAGAGTGGTGATGAAGAGGAAATAAGAGGATGCTCAGCAAGATGAATTGGAGCGGGAGGGACAGAGTGGAGGCAAGAGCACTACCTGATGGGGAGAAATGAGTTAGAAGCCCAGAGCCAGATGGTGTGATAACCAGCATGGTTATTACAGGATCCTGTCGAGAGCCTATTACAGAATCACAGAATCACAGAATGGTTGAGGTTGGAAGGGACTTCTGGAGACCATCTAGTCCAACCTCCCTGCTCAAGCAGGGTCCTCTAGAGCACATTGCACAGGATTGCATCCAGGCAGGTTATGAATATCTCCAGCGAAGGAGACTCCACTACCTCTCTGGGCAACCTGTTCCAGTGCTCAGGCAACCTCCCAGGAAAGAAGTTTTTTCTCAGGTTCAGATGGAACTTCCTGTGGTTCAGTTTGTGCCTGTTGCCTCTCGTCCTGTCGCTGGGCACCACGGAGAAGAGACCGGCCTCATCCTCTTGACACCCCCCCTTCAGATACCTGTACACATTGATGAGATCACCTCTCAGTCTTCTCTTCTCCAGGCTCAACGGGCCCAGCTCCCGCAGCCTTTCTTCAGAGGAGAGGTGCTCCAGCCCTCTAATCGTCTTTGTAGCCCTCCGCTGCACTCTCTCCAGTAGGGCCATGTGCCTCTTGTCCTGGGGAGCCCAGAACTGGACACAGGACTCCAGGTGAGGCCTCCCCGGGGCTGAGGAGAGGGGCAGGATCACCTCCCTCCACCTGCTGGCAACACTCTGCCTAATGCACCCCAGGATGCCATTGGCCTTCTTGGCCACAAGGGCACACTGCTGCCTCATGCTTAACTTGTTGTCCCCCAGCACTCCCAG